TGCTATTATGTGTTAGGGCTTTTAGAAGCACAGGCCAGATTACAAACTCATTTATTATTAAAGTTACTTTATTGTCGTATTACTCCTTACTTAAACATTTTTAATCTTATTTCTTCTTATCTTTGTTTATTCCTTCTCTTGTGCCCCCACTTCTGCACCCTTTACCACAGTAGGGAGGCCTCTGTTACTTGCCGTACAATACTACTCCGGACACGTCTTTGGTCCATTTTGGGCTGTAGTTTTCTGCTTTCGTTCGTAACTGTTGCAAATTGTCATCCCATTTGTGCCCCCCCCCAGCCAAAGCTCACCATTTCTAATGGGGGCTGTTCCTGTGGTCCTTCCAGCTTACCTTGATGAGATCACCTTCCAATCTGTCACCGCATCATTCAGGCACTGGTTTATATTGTATTTGCCATTCCATATTAATTTCTCTTTAGAAACCAAATTGTGTAGCCTTGTTAGGTCAGAGACTGTGTTGCTCCTTTGTGTCTCCATCCTTAGTGTCTGCTTGGTATTAGCATGAGCTCCATAAATACTGGATCTGATAATATATGAGTCTATCCTGTGCTGCAGCCAAGTCTAGCATCCATGTATGTTTGGAGCTATTGGTGGCACCGCTTGCCTGTTATCTTATACTGCGTGATATTTATAAGCAGCTTAATATTATTATCGTGTTATTATAATACTTTAAAGGTAGAAATTCGCTTCCTAATTCCATAGATTTTGGATTTTTTCTGTAGTAATTTTTAAAATCATAAAAAGTAATTAAGCGAAGTCGTTTTATTTTTTTTGTTTTTGAACGGAGTTTGCTCTGTTTCGGCCTTATGCTTGAGGTGCAGTGGGCCGACTCTCAAGCTCACGCAAGCTCTCGCCTCCTGGGTTCACGCCATTCTCACTGCCTCAGCCTCCCAGTGAGTCCTGGGAACTACGGGCGCCCGCCACCTCGCCCGGCTGTTTTTTGTATTTTTTTTAGTAATAGAGACACGGGTTTGCACCATGTTACCAGGATGGTTTCTTGATCTTGTGACCTCGTGATCCGGCCTCTTGTCTCGGCCTCCCAAAGTGCTGGGATTACAGGCTTGAGCCACCGCGCCCGGCCTAAGCGAAGTCTTTTAAGACTCCTACTGCAGGCATGAGACCTTCCTACGGTCACTGCTGTATGGTTCCTTTTAACTTTTGCCTCATGTCCTCTGTCTTAAAGATCAAACTTTCCTTATGTATAAAAGTGTAATAATAGTTGCTCAACATTTCAACTGCATTCCTCTCCTGAGTTTTTTCTAAAATGCATAATTGTAGGAAATGTGATAATATTCACAGCTTTGTTTTGTGTATGTGTGTTTCTGCTTTCCTCATAGGAGAAATACGAATGTGCTTTAAAGCGCGCAAGTATTAAAATTGTGACTCCTGACTGGGTTCTGGATTGCGTATCAGAGAAAACCAAAAAGGACGAAGCATTTTATCATCCTCGTTTGATTATTTATGAAGAGGAAGAAGAGGAAGAGGAAGAGGAGGAAGAAGTAGAAAATGAGGAACAAGATTCTCAGAATGAGGGTAGTACAGATGAGAAGTCAAGCCCTGCCAGCTCTCAAGAAGGGTCTCCTTCAGGTGACCAGCAGTTTTCACCCAAATCCAACACTGAAAAATCTAAAGGGGAATTAATGTTTGATGACTCTTCAGATTCATCACCGGAAAAACAAGAGAGAAATTTAAACTGGACCCCGGCTGAAGTCCCACAGTTAGCTGCAGCAAAACGCAGGCTGCCTCAGGGAAAGGAGCCTGGGTTGATTAACTTGTGTGCCAATGTCCCACCTGTTCCAGGTAACATTTTGCCCCCTGAGGTCCGGGGTAATTTAATGGCTGCTGGACAAAACCTCCAAAGTTCTGAAAGATCAGAAATGATAGCTACCTGGAGTCCAGCTGTACGGACATTGAGGAATATTACTAATAATGCTGACATTCAGCAGATTAACCGGCCATCAAATGTAGCACATGTAAGTCACTCAGAAAAAAATTTCAGTATTGGATTTTAGAATTGGATTTCACAGTCTATTTCAACGTAATTTATTGGTTTTGCTTTTTCAGACCAAATAACTTACAAGCAATATTTGTATGAGAACCTGTTTACTGTTGTGTGTGTGTGTGTGTATATATATATATTTATTTATTTCAGGGTCATTGAAAAAAAGGTAACTGTACGTTAAGTTGAAGATTTAAAGCAGGTGAGTAGAACCAGGACATCAGTGATGGCGTACTATCCCTTGAAGGGTTTCTGCTCTTACTTAGTTTAAAATTAGCAATGGCACCAAAGAGAATAATGAAGTTTACCAGCTGTACCTGATTTGCTTATAATGAACTTCATGGTAGTAAGTAAATAGCACAAATTCATGGATTTGTTGGAGAAGCCTTGATTTCAGGTTACAGTTTATATAGCATGGAGCTTATTGATACAGAGTGGATCTTAAGTTTTGTTGCTGTTGTTTTTTGTTTTTTTGTTTTGTTTCGTTTTTGTTCTTGTTTTTTTTGAGATGGAGTCTCACTCTGTCGCCCAGGCTGGAGTGCAGTGGTATGATCTCAGCACACTGCAACCTCTGCCTCCTGGGTTCAAATGATTCTCCTGCCTCAGCCTCCCGAGTAGCTGGGATCACAGGCATGCGCCACCATGCCTGGCTAATTTTTTTTTTTTTTTTGTATTTTTAGTAGAGACAGGGTTTCACCATGTTGGCCAGGCTGGTCTTGAACTCTTGATTTCTAGTGATCCACCCACCTCGGCCTCCCGGAATGCTGGGATTACAGGTGTGAGCCACCATGCATGGCCTTAAAAGTTTTAAGTAGATATATTTCTATTTAAGACAGAAAGAAGGTAGTTGAGGTGGTATATTGGCCACTCTTTGCATTTTTTTGGGCACTGGAGATAAAATTGTAAATAAGAAAACCAATTTAGGTAGAGAAGACATACAGTAAGAGGAGAAATATGAACAGACGCACTGTTGATGGTGAAAGGTGTTTCGAAGACAATAATCAGGGTCCCGTAATAGCAGGTGAAGGGAAGGAGGCTGTTTTAGACGAGATGATCAAGAAGGACTTCAGGCAGGAGGGGACTCAGATCAGGGTTGAATGACAAGGAAAGGCCGTGCAAAGAACTGAGGGCACAGAGTTCCCAGGCAAAAGGAAGACACAAATGTGGGCATGAATTTGCTGAGTTCTAAGAAAAGAAAGTTAATAAAATTTGAACTGCATAAGGTGAATGAGTTCTAGGAAGGATGTAAAAGGGGCCTTGCCATATAGGGCCATAGTGAGGAGTATGGACTTTCTTGGAAGGAAGCCACTGGGTTTTGAGTTGGGGTGAGATGCACTCTGATAGGTATTGTGTAAACAGTGGATCGTAGAGGGGCAAGAGTGAAGCAGAGAGGCCCCATAAGAGGATATAGAGGTGGAGTTTCAGAGATAAAAAAAATGAATGGGAGGATCCAGCTTTCTGGCCTGAGCAAGTGAAGGAAGTTGATGCCGTTTCAGAGATAAGGGACACTGGGAAAGCTGCAGGTTTGAAGAATCCAAGTTTCTTTTCAGATGTGTTGGGTTGGAGGTATCTGATCCACGCAGGGGCTGTCTGCTACACGGTGGAACCAGAGGAAACAAGGCTGACTGAAGCTATGGAGGTAGATGTGAGGATGTATAGTAGGCGGGACAGAGCAAGAGGAGGGTCTGGGACCAGGCCCTGAGGAGCCCCACCATTGAGAGCCAGCTGGGCTGTTCCATCTGATGGTGACGCCCCGTCTGCCGCTTCACCTTGTTCTGGACACTTTCATTTCATAATAAAGTTCAAAGTCCCAGAAAAATGGCTCTGCATATAGGAACAGCCTGAAGCAGGATCCAGTATTCTCCACATCCACTTTCAGTAGAAAGGCTTGATGTTGATGAAGTGGGGAAATTCAATATGGCGTAGGTGTAAGGTGATGTTGACAAACAATGACCATTTTATTGGGTGTGATAATAGCAGTGGTTTAAAAAGTGTGTAGAAATGCTGTGGGACAGACAAAATCCTTGTCTCACCTCCCCTCCACCTAAGCAGCGGGTATTAGTAGTACACGATTCTTGGGATGATGGCAGCGGTTGGCTGGCATCCAGAATAAGGTAGAGGCAAACATGCCCTTTAGATGTTGGACAGCAGACAGTTAAGATGGTGGGGGAGAAGATGAGTAGAGAGAGAAGATCATCGGGTTTGAGGAGATTAGATTTTCAAATAGTTGATTAATAGATAGGGAAGACATTCTTCGTACACATTGGGTTTCTGGCTTGAGAGGTGGGTACCTGATAAAATGCCTAGCTGGCATTCCTCAAGTCCTGGGTGGTGACAGTGCCTTGTAGCTGAGCAGCAGCTGCCTGTTAGAGAGGGGTTCTCGGGCCTGCTTCGGTGCCCACCACTCCATGCTACCTTGCTGGGTCCTGGAGGAAAACAGGCCTGCCACTGACCATAGGTCTTGGGGGTGGTTGGGAATGTGTGGCTGAGGAAATGGGGAGAAGGCCACCAAGATGAGGAGGTCCAAGAGCTTCTAGGCCAGGGATTGTCCAGATGGGTCCCCATGAGAGCGCTGGGGTCAGCCAAGTTTAGGGAAAAGGTAGATGCACAGAAGGAGCAGCTCCAGCACCACCCAGTGCTGAGGTTTCCGGCTCTGGTCTCTGCGCATCCATGTCCAGGCAGGTGGGCGGGATAAAGCCACAGGGCACAGTCTCAGCCACAGAGCAGCAAAGTGACGATCACACAGTCGTCCTGAGAACCAGAGGATGTCGTGACAGGTAGAAAGTAAAGGCCATAAAGAATGACAGGCTAGAGACAAAGAGAATTCTAGCATTTTTGACCTCAGACATGAGAAGAGTGATGATACTGCTGAGGTGGAGGAATTGAAGTGACCAGTCCTGGCAGGAAGACTGGGACCACACAGTGGACCTGTCCTGTCAGCAGTGGGATATGTGGGACATGGGCCATAAAGATCTCTCATAGGGTTGGTGTGAGGAATCATGGATGAAGCCTCTGGCACTTTGAGAAATGCTACTTTCTCACTTCCTTTAGGTGAGAAATTATGGACAGAAGTCATCCATTTGAAATAGGAAATGTTCTTTGCTCTTCATTTATTTGTGGTGTCAAAAAGTGTTGGTCAGTTACTGCTGGTTAGTTACTACTTATTCCTAATATATATGTTTTGGTTGTTTTTTGAGACAGAGTCTCACTCTGTCACCCAGGCTGTAGTGCAGTGGTGCGATTTCTGCTCACTGCAACCTACACCTCCCTGGCTTAGGCGATTCTCTTGCCTCAGCCTCCTGAGTAGCTGGGATTACAGGTGCCCATCACCATGCCCGGCTAATGTTTGTTTATTTTTATTAGAGATAGATTTTTGCCATGTTGGCCAGGCTGGTCTTGAACTCCTGACTTCAGGTGATCCGCCCACCTCAGCCTCCCAAAGTGCTGGGATTATAGGCCTTATGTTTTTCAAATACAATGGATGTTGGTTTAAATATAAACTTCCGGCCGGGCATGGTGTCTCAAGCCTGTAATCCCAGCACTTTGGGAGGCCGAGATGGGCGGATCACGAGGTCAGGAGATTGAGACCATCCTGGCTAACACGGGGAAACCCTGTCTCTGCTAAAAAAAATACAAAAAACTAGCCTGGCGCGGTGGCAGGCGCCTGTAGTCCCAGCTACTCGGGAGGCTGAGGCAGGAGAATGGCGTAAACCTGGAAGCAGAGGTTGCAGTGAGCTGAGATCCGGCCACTGCACTCCAGCCTGGGTGACAGAGTGAGACTCCGTCTCAAAAAAAACAAAAAATAAAAAAATATATATATATAAACTTCCTTAAGTTTGTATTTGGATATAGAGACAAAATAATTTACTTTGAAATGGAAAGAATTGACTGCAGTAGGGAGTTTGAGCACATCTCTGCAGTGGAAATTGTCCTTAGGAGATAAATTTGGCATACTCAGCTGTGTGCTCTAGCAGTGGAAAACTGAGAAGGCTCCATCCATTTCTAGTGAGTGAATGGATTTGATCACTAGTGAGAATTGCAGAGGTTTTCTGAGAGACTTTCATCAGTGCGAGAGAACATAAGGACATTTTACTGCTAGATGTGAGGAAAATGACTTTTTGAAACTTTAGAAATATGAGACAGATTTAGTTGAACTAATGTTGGTTGGGGGGGACGTAACTTACCATCAAAATCCTGTTTAAATTGCAAATTTATAGTGGTTAGAAGCTATGTGGTGTGTATCATAATGCATTCTGTATATGGAATTCAGTAACTCAGTATTAATGTAGTATAAATGAGGATTATGACAGTTGTAATGGGAAAATTTTAACTTGACATTCATTCAGAATTGTTTGTAGTATAGCACAATTGTGTAATTGAGCAATTAAGATTCGTTTTCATACGTTCTTCAGGACGAACATGTTTCCAGCCAGAGGCAGATCAGATGGTTGAAAAAGTGATATGATGAATGTGGTAGGGGTTTTGGGTGGCATCTCGATGGCTGGTCTTGCAGATGCCTCCTCTTCAATCAGGCCTGCACCTCTCGCTGCCTCAAGTGGAAAAAGGTTCCAGGCCAATGGCTGTCTTCATTTCTAGCCGGGACTCTCATCCTGAATCTCCATCTGTTCTTCTGCCTTAATGGGCTGGGTTAGCAGTGGACAAGGACCCATCTTAACTGAAGCCTGTAGTAGAAACAGCTCCTGTCCCACCCAGGCCTCCCTCAGCCCTCTGAGATCAGATGGAGCACTTTCTGCAGGCAGCAGACCCTGCTGAGTCCTCGTGGCCAATCTGAAAAATAGGAGCCTCTGGCCTCTGTCCTGTCCTGATGTCTGCTGCTGTGTTTGTCTAGGTCCTGTGCCCCTTCCTGAGCTCCCTTTCTCCTGGAATTGGCAGGTGTAGAGGCGCGGGGAGCAGCATGTGGTGAATGACTGGTTCAGCCCTGTCCACCTGCAGATGGGCATTTATTTCTTTACTATCCCTCAGAGTTCCATGGGCTGTTTACATATGAGGGTAAAAAAGTAATATGTGTACAAAATTCAAAAATTCAAATGATACCAAAGGACAGAGTGAACAGTTAAACTCTCCGCCCCCTCCCACCCCTCATTGCTGTTTACCTTCTCAAGAGGCAGCTGCTATTTCCAGCAGTTTGCCATGTAGGGCTCATGGCTGGTGCCCACCTGGCAGGCAGGTGCCCCACACATGCATGCTTCTCTAGGGGGTGTTCGCACAGCACCAAATGCTGCTGGGCTCCGCGGGGTGGCATGTGATGGGGTGAATTCTCCCCTCTTCTGGATTTTTAAAAATACTTTTAAATATGGAGATGAAACAGTTGTCTTATTATTTTGTTTAAAAGACATTTTTCTGCTTAGAGTTCCACTCAGGTGTTTCTGAAGTCTTGAATCTCATAGAGATGTTTCATACATAAGGTGATTTTAAAGATAGTTGTACCTAAGCTCTTGATTTTGACTTATTTCAATTCTAAATGCAATTATTTATCACTAAACCCAAAATCTGTTACCCTTGCAGGTCATATAACCTTTGCAATTTGGAGTCTGTTTAAGTGAAAGATACATGTTAGAGTATGTTTGAGATTTTGTTATAGTTCTGATATGTGTTAAAATCAAATTCCTAGGATTTTGTTTACATTTTAAATGCTTTTATTAGGGTTAAAAGTTATATGGATTGAGTTTAGTAAAATCTATTTTTACTGATTTCCATGACCATAAGAAGTTGGTTTCAAATTTTTGTTGCTTGAGCATGTGGAACAAAATTCATTGTATAACATGTGTCTTTTGTTGTATTCAGTACACTATAGGATATTAAAAAAATAACTTGCTCTTCTTGGTGGGCATCTGCTGGTCACCGTCCTTCTCCTACTCCTCAGTGTACGCAGAACTCTCAGCCTATTCCCTGTCATTGTGAAGCAGAAAGAGCTAGAAAACAAATAGTCTGGTTTGAATTCTTTTTTTCTAGCTTGAAATATTTTTGTCCCACATGAAGAACTCAGTCATTTTTGAGGAAGCATCATTTCCCAACTCTAATGATGAGTTCTTAGTTGGGAAAAACATCACCATTGAAACAGCTCTGGTGGTGTCTTAGCTGGCCTCCTTTTTTGAAGAATGCCAGTGTACATAGCAAGTTGACAGTGGAGCGAAGGGCTCTTGGAGTCACAGCTTAGGTCATGCTGCTTTCATCAGGAAGGTGATTCACTGAGAACCTTTCTTTACTAGACTCTGGGCTGTAAGACAAGAGGAAATGGGAAGTGGCAGCTGTGGCGAGAAGGTTTGAGGTGAAGCTGAACCTGATTACCAGATGCTTTCACCACCTGTCATTCCTCAGTGCATTCCTGGGCCAGGAGAGGGTCTGCGGAGCTGATGTGGGCGATGGGCAGTGGAGAGGCGCTGCGGACAGTGCAGGGAGCACCGAGGCTTAGCCTCCAGTTGTGCACAGGACTCACACGCCTTGCTCTGGCAAGCACATCAGCCGTCTGAGTCTTTGTCACTTTAATTCGTTAGTTTACTCCATTTTACTAACGTAGTTTCAAATTTTGGTGGTCTCAATATGTGAATGTACTTTATGATATTGGTGTTACAAAATAAATACAAAAGAAAATGCAGTATTATTTTGAAGTTTCCAGTCATTTGCTGTGTCTGCTTGGTTGAATAGTGTTAATAAATAGGATGCTATTATTCTCATGACTAAGAAATTATCATTCGTCTGTTTCAGGAACTATTGATAATGTTTCACCTAACTTGTTTTGTAGATCTTACAGACGCTTTCAGCACCTACGAAAAATTTAGAACAGCAGGTGAATCACAGCCAGCAGGGACATACAAATGCCAATGCAGTGCTGTTTAGCCAAGTGAAAGTGACTCCAGAGACACACATGCTACAGCAGCAGCAGCAGGCCCAGCAGCAGCAGCAGCAGCAACAGCACCCGGTTTTACACCTTCAGCCCCAGCAGATAATGCAGCTCCAGCAGCAGCAGCAGCAGCAGCAGCAGCAGCAGATTTCTCAGCAACCTTACCCCCAGCAGCCACCACATCCGTTTTCACAGCAGCAGCAGCAGCAGCAGCAAGCCCATCCGCATCAGTTTTCACAGCAGCAGCTACAGTTTCCACAGCAACAGTTGCATCCTCCACAGCAGCTGCATCGCCCTCAGCAGCAGCTCCAGCCCTTTCAGCAGCAGCATGCCTTGCAGCAGCAGTTCCATCAGCTGCAGCAGCACCAGCTCCAGCAGCAGCAGCTCGCCCAGCTCCAGCAGCAACACAGCCTGCTCCAGCAGCAGCAGCAGCAGCAACAGCAGATTCAGCAGCAGCAGCTCCAGCAGCAGCAGCTCCAGCGCATGCACCAGCAGCAGCAGATGCAAAGTCAGACGGCGCCACACTTGAGTCAGACGTCACAGGCGCTGCAGCATCAGGTTCCACCTCAGCAGCCCCCGCAGCAGCAGCAGCAACAGCAGCCACCACCACCACCACCTCAGCATCATCAGCTTTTTGGACATGATCCAGCAGTGGAGAGTTAGTAATGGAGATTTTTTTTTCCCTCTCTCCTAAAAGTCTTGTACTCACATAAATGCTTTGAGAGTGTTTGAGTGTGGGGTAAGGATTCATGTCAAAACAATTATTACAACATGGAGAGTGTGAGTCTCATACCTAACAAAGAATATCGTTACCATGGGATAATTATGCTTTCTTTTGTACTTTGGGACATCATATGCTGAAGTGAATATTGGTGTCCCGTAGAACATCTAGGCTGCCACAGGGACTCCTTCAGGGTATTTAATGGCCAGGCATAAGTTACGTTGGTTTTAGTTTTTAACGATTATTTGATGTAGACAGATAACTAGTATCTTTGTAGCAATATTCCCCATGCACTCTGATTACTGGTAGATATGTCATGGTCAAGACTGATTAACATAACAGAATCACATTGCAAGGCACCACTGTTTAACTTTTGTGCAAGCATATTCATAGGGTTTTAATTTTCTTTTTCTTGTATAATTTTACTCTAGTTCCAGAAGAAGGCTTCTTATTGGGATGTGTGTTTGCAATTGCGGATTATCCAGAGCAGATGTCTGATAAGCAACTGCTGGCCACCTGGAAAAGGGTGAGATTGTGCCTGGAGGAAGGACGACTGTATCTGAAGATGCTTCTTTCTTATGTAGATGTAACTATGTTCACTTAGCTGCATTCACTGAGCTGCACCTACATGTGTTATAAATGTGTGATGGGCATTTTGATTAACATTCCCTGTGGCCTCAGGCACAGCACTTTTCTGGGCATCCGTTTTCTCAGCTGTTAGATGAAGATGGTAGACTTCTTATTTTTTCAGCTTGGAAATTCCAAGGGGCACTAATTATATGTGTATAATGGGGACGATGGGAATAAGTTCAGGTTTTTGGTGTCCTGGGAGAGGGACCATTAATTTGTGTGGATCTCAGTCATTTCTCTTTCTCTAGAGGTAACTGTTAGAAAATCCCAGAATCTCTAGGACCTCAACTTCTTCCAGCCCAATTGTGAAACTGGAGTTAATTTAATTATTTATTATTTTGCATGGTGGCCTTTAAAGAAAAGAAATACTTTTTCTTGCATTCCCCAAAACAAAACTGAGTCAAAAAAATTTTTTTTTATAAAAACTGAGTTTAAATGTGCCTCTCATATATCTTGAATGTGCTTCACTATAAACATCTCTAGTGCTTAAATCCCACCTGTGTGCCAAGCATGCTGCAAGACCTAGGGAATATGTGGGAAATCACAGACGGAGAAAACCAAAGAGCAGTGCAAGAGGCAGCCACACAGCTAAGCAGAGGCAGGGTGGCAGAGGCAGGCTGTTGTGAGAGCCTGAGAAAGGACCTTCACCCATCATGTTGTGGGGTGATGTGTTAAGAAAAGACTACTGGGGCCGGGCATGGTGGCTCAAGCCTGTAATCCCAGCACTTTGGGAGGCCGAGACGGGCGGATCACGAGGTCAGGAGATCGAGACCATCCTGGCTAACATGGTGAAACCCCGTCTCTACTAAAAATACAAAAAAAATTAGCCGGGCGAGGTGGCGGGCGCCTGTACTCCCAGCTACTCGGGAGGCTGAGGCAGGAGAATGGCGTGAACCCGGGAGGCGGGGCTTGCAGTGAGCTGAGATCCGGCCACTGCACTCCAGCCTGGGCGACAAAGCCAGACTCCATCTCAAAAAAAAAAAAAAAAAAAGACTACTGGGAGAGGTGATTCCTGAACTGCTTATTATAGGATGAGTAGGAGTGAGAATTAGAGGGGAGGATTTTCCAAATGGTGTAGCACAGCCAAAGGCATGTGATTGGGGAAACTGACAGGAGGGTGCAAAGGACGGTGCCTCAGTGGGATCCACAAGGCAGGGGTTGGGGCAGGAGCCAGGGCTGGCATGTCTTCCAAGACCTTGTTGATGCGCCATGTGGTGGAGTTTAGATGCAGGTGAAGTGATCAGCTGTGCATTTCAAGTAGTAAAGGGTTGAATCTGAAGGTGACCAGAGAGATGACTGTGGTTGGCTGAGGAAAGAGGCGGATGGCATGTGCTAGGGGGAGGGAGGAAGGGGGCAGTTCTGAGAAGGACAGCAGCAGAGATTTTTTAAAAGTCAGAAGTGTTTGAAGGCAGCACTGAGAAACTGTCTTGAGAAGTATGACAAAACTCAAAGATACCAAAGTTAGTGGAGGAAAGTTTGGGTTTTTTGTCTTGTTTTCAAGTTAAGGATTTATCCAAGAGGTCTAACATTAAATAGGAGCTTGGGAACAGAGAAAATGAAGGCAAGAACGTTATGAAAGAAAATAGCTTTGCAGCTGAAGGCCATGTGCCCTCAGATAGAAAAGAAATATAAGGAGAGCCGTGATAAGGCAACTGGGAACGTTCACAATGCTGGTAGAGAAAACTGTTTTCTCTCAAAGACAAGCTCACTGGAGGGGAAACGTGGACAGATCAGGAGTCAGGGCGATTTCGGGAGCCTCCAGTCCAGTGCGCGGGGGCCAGCAACGGAGCAGCTTCTTCCATTTTTGAGGGAAAATAATTTCCAACCTAAAATAACCTATAGAGCCTGTCAGTCATAAGACTATGGAAGGAGGATATTTGTACACTAATGGTCGAAAATGTACCTCCCTTATATTCTTCCTTAGGAAGCCACTATGCCAGCAGAGAGTGAGACCTGGTAGCCAGGAAATGAGGCGTTTGACTCAGAGATGACAAGAGAGTTCCTAGGATGGAGGTGAAGGGAAACGCTAATAGATGAGAAAGTAGGTGTAGAGAGAACTAGACCTGGGACCGGAAGAGAGACTTCCTGGAGGAGCAAGCAAACAAAAACACTGGTGGCTTCAGGAGAGACATGTACGGCTGACCCCTGAACAGTGTGGAGCCTAGGGGTGCTGATCCCCATGCAGTCAGAGATCTGTACATCACTTTTGACTCCCCAAAGCCAGAATTACTAATAGCCTGGTGTTAACCAGAAGCCTTAGTGATAAACAATTAATGCATATTTTGTATATGTATTACCATATTCTTACAATAAAGTAAGCTAAGTAAAAGAAAATGTTATTATGTTATTAAGAAAATCTTAAGAAAGAGAAAATATGAGTTACAGGAGACTCGCACTGTCACTTCCACCATATTCAATGACTAAGTCTAGACCATAGTTAAGGCTAGGGGAGTAGACAGTAATTTGCAGACATACTATAAAACCGCCACATGTACGTTTTTCATAGAGTTTGGGAATGAAATAGTGAAAAGTATATAGAAAACTAAGAAAAGGGCAAATTCTGGGGGGCTGGGATAAGGAAGTGATTAGCACCAGGGAAAACCAAAGTTTATACCAGAAAGGAACTCTTATCTTAGGCTGCCATATTACGCCATGTGGCTGGGCTGCGTTAAGTCACTGATGACTGATCTAAACAAGAGTCTGGATATAACCAAATCAGGAAGGCTTGAAGAGTGTGTGTTATGGTGGGGAAGGGTGTGCACTGTAGGAGGTCGGTAGATGGTCACGTAAACTAGAGAAAAGGAACTAATGGAAAGTGTTAGAATATATTCATACTTTCGGAAGAAACAGCTTCAAGTGCTGAACGTGCTTCCGGGGAGTGAAAAGCAGGGATTGGCGAGGAACCTGTGGTTCTGTCCTGTGCCTCATTAAACCATATTTATGCTTAGCCGGAGGAAAAATAAACATGTACATCTTAAAAGTAGGAAGTGAAGCAATCGGTTTTTTTAGGGGGCAGATCTTTTTAAAGTTTATATTTCACCCAATAGGCCGTCAAATTCTCCTTTTTCCGTGTACAATATTTTGAGTTCTGAAGAATGCCCGAGGTCGTGCAGCCGTCACAGCCCGGATGCAGAGCAGTTCCTCCCCCTAGAAAAGCAGATCTGTTTTGAGAAGCGACTGTTGGGATTTACTAATTTCATTCTGATTTGCGTTTTATTTCCCTTTTTGAGGGAGGTGGATCTGCCCACCATAGAGCTTTGGCAGTATCTGAAGATCTTTAGTAGTCGCGGCTAGGGGGCTGCTGCTGGCATAGGGTGGGTAGAAGTTGGGGACACTACCAAACATCCTCCTCTGTACAGGACAGCCCCCACTTACCAGAACCCCCTGGTCCAGAGTGGCAGTTATGCTGAGCTTGAGAAACCCTGGAGTGCATTCCATTTTTCTTCTCTTGTTTCCTGGAAATTCAGATTACATTTAGAGTACTGGAGTTCATTTTCATTATATGGTGCTGGGTAGAAAAGTCTGTAAATAGAACTGTTACATGTCCTTAATACTTTGGGGAAATACATGATATAAATGTATGATAGAGTCTTTTAATAGCTGCCTTATTTGAAATTGGAATTCTCCTCTATTCTGAGTGATTGAAATTGATGACTGCGTTGGTCGGGTCTTTGTGTGTAGATAATCCAGGCACATGGTGGCACTGTTGACCCCACGTTCACAAGTCGATGTACGCACCTTCTCTGTGAGAGTCAAGTCAGCAGCGTGTATGCACAGGTAAGGAAAATAACCTTAGCAGCGACGAGGAGCAAGGTCTGGCATTTTTTATATGCAATCTTAAATGCTGGTGATTGATTGTTATTTTTGGAAAGGGCTTTTTTCTACCTCTGAAGATAGGAAAATTGCTTCTTCCTGTGATCAGTTCTTTGGTGGGATTGATACCTTTTGTGGGCACCGTTGTCTTTGAGCGATGGAGATAGAAAGGGATGTTCCTAGGTGGTGGTAAGAAAGGGCAGACAGGAGGCCGAGGGGAGCAGATCACGAGGGCAGGAGTTTGAGACCAGCCTGACCAACATGGTGAAATCCCGTCTCTACTGAAAATACAAAAATTAGCCGGGCATGGTGGTGTGCACCTCTAATCCCAACTGCTCAGGAGGCTGAGGCAGGACAATGGCATGAACCCGGGAGGCGGAGGTTGCAGTGAGCCGAGATTTCACCACTGCACTCCAGCCTGAGCGACAGCGAGACTCTGTCTCAAAAAAAAAAAAAAAAGAAAGGGCGGACGCTCCCTGCAGTCACCATTCCAGCTGCTCTCTGCACAGTGAAGGGAGGCAGGATTCTGTACTGGTGTGTGACTCGCACATAAGCGTGCAAAGACGGGTCCCTTACAGAGCTTTTCTAAACCTGCCGGGATGTAGGCTTTCTCCTGATTACCTTCCTGTGCTCTCTGAAGTTTCACTTCTTTTCAAAAAATTATGCTTATTGTAGACAGATTATGTATATGTGACAAATGACCTCCAAGACACCCCTCTTAAAGAGGATAGCCGTTCACAGGGTCTGTTTTTCCAGTAAAAATGTGGAAATACTTTTGAGACTTTTTTTGTTTTCCTGTGGTTCATCTTAGGTGGATGGTTTTTTGTATTTTTTCTTATGTGCAGCCCTCTGTGTTCTTACAGGGCACTTAAAACTTTGGTGGTCCTACGTGTTATTTCACTCATCACTAACGTTATTTTTAAGATTGTCGTAGAATTTGTTGCTTTTGTCCTCAGTTGTAGACTCTTGTTTGCAGATGGATAGTAACATTTTTAGGTTGTATTTCAAATAACCAGCTACATGGTTTTAATTTGTTACTTCAATCAAGTGCTAGATGTCATGAAATTCTTTTATGGGGCTTCCAATGAAAAGGGCATTGTAGTTATACAACCATAGAATTTTCTTTAATCCTGCAGCAGAAAAACAAAAACAACACACCTATAATTTTATGTTTGACAGGCAATAAGAGAAAGAAAGAGATGTATCACTGCGCACTGGTTAAACACAGTCTTAAAGAAGAAGAAAATGGTACCACCGCACCGAGCCCTTCACTTTCCAGTGGCCTTCCCACCAGGAGGAAAGCCGTGTTCACAGCATGTAAGATAGAGTCCTCGCGTTCCATTTGTTAAATCATCCTTCGACTTTGGCTAGTAATCACTTGCTAGCACTTACCTGAGGCTCCCGCGCTGGCTTCCGAGTCAGAGTTTCTCTGTGTACTTTTGCCCGTTTTATAAGTGCCTGCTTATAAGAAATAGCTTGCTTTCTTTTAGTTCCTTGTAACAGTCACAACGTTCTGCACATAGTAGATATTTAATGGATTCTCCAGTCTTTGACACTATTTAAAATCCAAAAATAAATCAGATGTCTTGTACCAAAGGCAACCCCTAGTGGGTGGAACTAATCAATAGTTGTGGGTCCTCCCTCCCAAATGATCTCAGCATTTCATGTTCATTCTTTTTCTTCTTCCCCGTGAGGGCTGTGTGTGTAACCTTTTGACCATTAATACAGTTCTGGTCTTGAAAGTTTTAGAAATGATATTACCAAATGTGTTCCATAATGCCAAAAAAATAGTGAAAAAATATATGTCAACTAAGAAGTAGAAGAAATAGTACTTGGTTTTGTTTTTTTTGTTTATTTTGTGTTTATCTTATTTTCTCTCTTTTTTTTTTTTCTTAGATTATTTCTGTGACTGGATTTGTTGATAGTGACAGAGATGACCTAAAATTAATGGCTTATTTGGCGGGCGCCAAATATACGGGTTACCTATGCCGCAGCAACACAGTCCTCATCTGTAAAGAGTAAGTAAATTTTTGAAACCGTTTTTAATCATAAATTTACACACAGTATAGTGGCTATTTCAATAGTTGTGCATTTTTTAATGTGCCATAGTTTTGTGGTAGAAATTTGTGGAAATCAAAGTCTGTTAAACAAAGTATGACAATGATATAGTAATGTTAGTAGAAATACCTAGAAAACATTTGAATTAATGAAATTTGAATTAACAAAACAGGAATAGGGTAAAAGTAAGACTCCTAGGTGGTTTTGTAATTCTATTTGAGCCTTGAGGTGTATATTTCATTATCATTCAGGATTACCCTCAACTTTGCTAGGATATGCCTCCCACTTCTATTATGAGAAATTTTTTATTGCCTTTTGTTGGAAATAAATGTACATTTGGACAGTTGACATCTCTAACATTTAATAAATATGTTTTCTCCTCGAAAAATAAAAGACCAACTGGTTTAAAGTATGAAAAAGCCAAAGAGTGGAGGATACCCTGTGTCAACGCCCAGTGGCTTGGCGACATTCTTCTGGGAAACTTTGAGGCACTGAGGCAGATTCAGTATAGTCGCTACACGGCGTTCAGTCTGCAGGATCCATTTGCCCCTACCCAGCATTTAGTTTTAAATCTTTTAGGTAAGTGAAATTCTACATGCTGCAGATCTTACTTAAATTAAATCATTAGCATTACTTCTGCCATCTTTTTATTCATACTAATTACCAGGCCTGGCTTGAGCTTTCTAATCAGTTTTTGACTCATTTCCAATTTCCTTTCTATGCTCTTTCTTCCTTCTCCCTACTCTGCCCAGGATTTTTGTTTGTTTGTTTTTGTTTTTGTTTTTTTGAGACAAGGTCTCACTTCGTCACCCAGGTTGGAGTGCAGTGGTGTGATCATGGCTCACTGCAGTGTCAGTCTCCTGGGCTTGAGTGATTTCCCCACCTCACCCTCCCAAGTAGATGGGACTACAGGCGTGTGCCATGGTTTAGTATTTTTGTTTGCTTTTGATGAACTCTTAGAGATGGAAGGAGCGCTTGAAAGCTTTTTGATAGTCTTGCCTCTCAGGCCAGTTAATCTTTTGTCCAAATTGCTCTCTACCTTACAGAACGTTCCCTGCTTTCCTAGAATTGATGTCTGTCCTCTTTGTCACTGTTGAGCTTTGACTGACTTGCTGTTACATCTTGAATGCCATCATGGCTCCTGTGATAGGCAAGAAGGTTTGTGCCTGCTAGAGGCCAGACTATGTGAAACCCAGACTTGGACACAGGCCTAGAAATGTCTATCCAGACAACCAGACCAGCAGTGGGAGGGTGAATGCCATGGGTTTAGACACGGTATTTGCTTTGTTGTTTGCTGCCAGTGGCCTTAGTGCTACTTCATCCGCACAGCATGTGAAACGAACACAGCAGCATTCCCTCACCTTGCCTGGAAAGCTTTCTTTAAAACTTCATTATAGTACTTACGTTTATCCTTACTAAGTATTGTCAGCTAAGCCACCTGTCTGTTGAGGATTATCAGGGAAGACTTTTACAAAAAGGCCTTTTTATTTGAACAATGTATCTATCATAAAAAATAATGTGTTTCTTTCTTTAGATGCTTGGAGAGTTCCCTTAAAAGTGTCTGCAGAGTTGTTGATGGTATGTCAAATTAATAACCTTACTTTGGCTATTACTGTACTATTAAAATGCAGTAGGAATGTATTTGTAATAAATTAAAAATTAGTAATTTGTCAACATGATAACAAATGAATTATCTACTCCAGTAAATCCTAGGATTGATTTTTCTCTTGTTAGGATGTGATTGTCATTATTTTTATATATACATGTGAGGGGCTCATTTGCTTCAGAGAGCTGTGTGATTGCTTATAGAGAACAGTAAAATCAAAGGTGATGTCTTGTTTTTTGTAGGGTTAGAAAGGCAAGAACTTGAAGAACCATTGGAAGCAATGGATGTGTAACCTACTTGAGGCTACAGATCAGAACTTAAGGAGTCCCGGGTCTCGTGATGAGGGGAAATGTTTTCATAGTGTCCTGAGTTGGGAGTCACATCACAGTGCTTGAGGTCTCTGCTTTTCAGGATAGGCCATTCTTGAAGTGTGAGGGCCATTGGTTGTTAGTTACAAGACAGAGAGGTGCTTTCTGCATTCTCTCTCATCTGTCAAGTGTGATGAGTGGAAAATCAGTTGTCTTTTCTCTTTTCCCCACATTCATATTTCCTAAGTTACAGACAGGACTACTTCAATATCACTTTAGACTTTGTCTGCTGTGACTTCCCACTGTTTGGCTGAACATCAGCACTTTGAGAATAGCAGATTTTTTTACTGTTGGCCAATAGTAGTGTAATTTTAAGACTTTGGTTTATGTTCATGTTGTTATATACTAACCTTTGTTTTTAAAAATGGATTTCCATGTCATGGACCCACCAAGTTTTCACCACATTTCTATTGTATACGGAGGTAATTTAGGGTTTGTGCCACTTGAACAACTAGCTGAAGAGAATAGTGTCATGAGGATTAGCAGCTAACACCCACGCCTGTGTTTCTGGTTATTTATCTACTGACTTACTCGGTTTTCAGATCTCATCTGGAAGCTGCTGATAATCATCCTGAGTCTCTGAGGAAGCCCCCCAAGCCACAGTCTTGTTTTCTTCTTGCTAATGATAACGTGATCGTAGATGTATTTTTTTTCCTAGCTTAAACTAGTAGTTATGATTTTAATTTTAAAGACATGACCAGTTTGGACACATCAGCAAAAGCAAATATTCTCCCAGTTCATTTAGCTGAAAGGAATTTTATGGTGGCTTTTAAGCTCACACTGAGAAAGTGGTCATCAGAGTTTTCCTCCCAAACTATATGGCTTATATTCTGAAGTTGTCAGGGGCTCCAGATGTCAGCTTCTCTGGTGGCTTTGTATCAGTAATTAAAAGCTAAAAATCTTAGAGACAAAGAGGCCCAGTTTACCCTTTTTGCCTATCCCACCATTTGTTTCTACTCTTGGTACCAGTGAATGACAATTTGGAGACTTAAATGTGATCTTTGGAAATAGAGAGTTGAGAAATTGTTTTCTTACAAAGACTATAATAAGAAAAAATGTAATAAACTTTGCTGCAAATTATTATAAAGCTTGATTCTTTGTGTATGACAGGGCTAATAGATTTTGAATGCTTTCTGTAGATATATTTATTTTGGTTGTCTAGATATGGCAACAATATTTAGAAAAAATAAGTTTAGTTAAAGGAAATTAGTAAGATTGAGAGCAATTCCTTCAAGTAATAAAACATCTAGGAAAGACATGGTTGGTCCACACAAGTCAAAGAACCTCTGAGTTGAAACTGTGAAGGAGGAGTGAACGAGGAATAGGGTAGAATGGAGATGCTGACTGTGGTGGGGACCCCACAAGGGAATCCCATCTCCTTCCTGCTCTCTTTGTGCTTAGCATGGCTTCTGCTCCAGGGTCAGGGACTGGAGCTGGTCCTAGTGGATGTGACCATGCTGCTGAGGCAGAGTGTAGGTTTTGGTACCTTGTCTGGCTGTTGGTAGCAAGCAGTGTTGATTTGATTGTCATGTAACATCTTTTGTGAAATCTCATAGGTGAAATTTCTCTTTTAGGAATAGTCTTAGGGCAGAGGTGTAATTTCAGTCATGTTTTCCACATTCTAAATTGGGACACAGGACAAAATATTTGAAATAAAAACCATTCTGAGAAGTTCAAGGTTGAGGGCTGCATGTATGTAACATGGAGGAAAAAAAGGAACAAAGATACTTTAAGATACCGAAAGGATTCTGTGAATAAAGAGGGAAAGAAAAAAACAAAAAACGAAAACAATACAGAGGTTCACTCTGGAATATTAGCTTCTTCTCCTGGCTTGCATTGTCCTAGTGATCTTTTGAGGTGAAGACTAGTTCTGATGTGGTGAAGAACAACATGATTCTTGTATATGTTTAAGTAGTTTGATTATTCGACACATAAATCTTTTGGAAGCTACTGTATTACTTAGTAGATTGATTGAATTAAAGTCGACAATATTTTAATTGCAGAGTGTAAGACTACCTCCCAAACTGAAACAGAATGAAGTAGCTAACGTCCAGCCTTCTTCCAAAAGAGCCAGGTATGAGTAATAACCTTAAATATTTTAGTGCTGGCTTTCACAGGTCTGCTTTGGAGAATCGGTGGCAATTGAGGAACGTTTCTAAAGTGTTTTGCAGTAAATAGGATTTGAAAGAGTTTGCTTTTTGCTTTACAACTTTATTTCATTTTAATGACATAGGCCAGTATATTTTTTGTTTTTAAAAAATTCAGTCTTTTTCTTTAAGCGACATATTATAAGAAGCCCCTCTCCACCATGTAAAACAGAAGCTACAGTGGTGGATATGGGGTGGGAGGTCTAGAGCCCAGCTCAGAGGTACACCGCGGAGCCCCAGGCCTCCTGGGCATGGCTGAAGAACATGCTCTAGGTGCCAAGAGAGCATGTAGGCTGTGACGTCGTCTTGGGTATGCTCCTTGGATCTGCCAGTTCTCGATGAGGACAGAGCAGTGTTGGCCATGGTGGGAAGGAGGATCCAGACCCAAAGCCTTTGGAAGGACATGTGCAGTGCACATGGCATGTTGGTTTTTGGCTTGGAGTATGTAGATTGAGATGCATATCATTTTAGTGTCATGTCGGCCAGCAGGAGTCAATAATGATGTCCTGCCAATCATTTACTTAGTAAGGCATAGCAAATGCAGGAGCAAACCAACAGAGCTTTTATTTTCTTCCTTGATTCTAGAAAACTCTTCTCTCCAAACTGTACATGTGAAATATAACTGCTTGAATTGTTTTTTGCAGTTACCAGTTTCTTCATCTTTTCTTTCCTGCTCATCCTCTTTCCCTCCTTCCATTCCCCACTTTCAAAACACAAACTGAACTGTTGACTTTTGTAATAAAATCCTAATTATGTGATATTTTTTGAGGCTGTCATCAAATTGCCACAAATAAATTTTAAAATAAATTTTTATTGGACTGTCTCAGAAAATAATAAGCTGAAAAAAAGATCTAAAAAGTTTAAGGGTTATGTAAAAAACAAAAAGGTTTAATTTAAAATGTGTGCTTGAGCAGAGTCGCATTTTCATAATTTGTGGTTGAAGAGGGCTAGAATGTAAAAGACACTGGAAGCTCTAGCAACACTCGGCTGACCTATAGTGATGGTGAACGTGCAAACAAGGAGTGGCCTGAGTCACACAAGGTTATCTTAAAAACTTGATAGAAAAGAATGAAGTATAAAGCTAGCAAAATCAGTAATGTTTAGAAGCAACTTTGCTTTCTTCTGAAAGCCAATTAAAAAATTAATCAGGAGGGGATTGATGAAGAAGGAAGTATTGATCTTAACCAAAAGTGAATTGGATGCCTCCCTTGGAAGCTTCAGAGGTAGTCTTTTTTGGAAGGTGACTTTATGGAAATGGTGGAAAGAAAAGAAGGACAGATAGCTCGTTGTATTTTTCCTTTAATAATAAAAACCACATGCAGTTAAAACTTGTTAAACTATTGAAATCCCTTGTTTTCTAAAGAAAATTTTCATTGTAAGTAAATATGAAATCACCACTATTTTATGTGTATTTCTTCCACAGAATTGAAGACATACCACCTCCCACTAAAAAGCTAACTCCGGAATTGACCCCTTTTGTGCTTTTCACTGGATTCGAGCCTGTCCAGGTTCAACAGTATATTAAGGTGAAATTTCATCTACTTCGTACAAGGATTTTTAGCAGTGTTCCTTTTTGTATATATTTACTTCAGATCAGCAGTTTATTAACTTACATAGTTTAGATAGTCAGGAATATCTTGTTGTAGCAGTCTTTATAGTGCATATTTATGAAGTATTTTTAGTAGTATTTATAGTAACAACTAGTTAAATGTTTAGTGGCTTCCTGCCATGTTCTGTGCTCTTATTTCATACTTAGATACTTGCTTTCTTATTAGCACAGGCCAGGAACCGTGTTAATAGTCACATGAACATTTGCAAGTCTCCTTCTGTGTCGTATTCATAAAGACATCCAGCATGAAGGAAAACTGTCTTTTCAAGTTATCTGATTGAAACACAGTCTACCCAAGATTAGTTTTCTTGGGAAAGGGAGTTTGCGTATTTGTTTAGATGATAAATGGGCACAGGTTTTAAATATACTTTTTGAAATAACAACCCAAAGGATGATGGGATTTTGTTTTGTTTTGGTGAGGGAGAGGATGGTTAAGAGTATAAGTTGACCTGTATTATGGTGGATTCATACATTTCACTCCTGGTTAACAATTATAAATGCTACTATTATACATTTAGAACAAATTAATTTCTCCACCTTGAAAATGTGAGGATAGTTATTAGGAGGTCGCTTTTTTATATGCTCCAATCTTAGCCAGTTTTTATGCCATCATTTCAGAAAACGAAGATAGCAGGTAAATGTTCCTCATTAACACCAGTTTCAGCCTAGCAAGTCTTGGCTGTTTACTCTTCATTGTGAAGTGAGCTGCATCATTCTCATGTCATTTAATTTATTCATGGAGATATGTTATTGATGTTTGATGGAGAATTCGTATTTTAATCTTGATTTGTGTGGATTTAAACTACAGAAATGTAAATGATAAATTCTCCTTTTTATTTTTCTCCTGTAGTTATAGGTTTCATCTTACCTGTCACACTGTTTTCTGTGGCTGAGAATTAGTCATAAACCTTGTCTTTAGATAGGTATTCCTCTGTGTTACTCTCTGTCAGTGTGGCTCTATGGATGCTGAACTTTTTCATTTCTGACCTGTGCTTGTGACCTTTAGAAGCTCTACATTCTCGGTGGGGAGGTGGCAGAGTCTGCACAGAAGTGCACGCATCTCATTGCCAGCAAAGTGACTCGCACTGTGAAGTTCCTGACGGCAATTTCTGTCGTGAAGCACATAGTGACGCCAGAGTGGCTGGAAGAATGCTTCAGGTGTCAGAAGTTCATTGGTAAGGAGCGGCACCAGTAACTTTGTTTTTACTGCCAAATAAACTTTTTTCCTTGAATTCATCTCTTTCATCCCAACAAATATTTATTTTTTTAACTGTGATAGTTATTCATTTAAATTTATACATTTATTTCATATCCCCAGTGATTCCTTTGATTGATGTCTTTGCATTTTACCCTAAGTATAAAAGTTTTGGTAAATTGGACAATATTAGGGGGAAAACAAGCTCTATGTCCCTCTTTTTATTTTCTTGTTAGTATATTTCGTTTGGAATCTGGCTGTAAAATGAGATTTTTCAAAGTGCAGGGAAGTATAATATTTTTCTTTATTTGGAAAGAGAGCAGGTGTATGTAAATGTCCTACTCAAATACACTTTGGATATCAGTTTATATAAGGAGGGAAAGACATCTATGTCCTCTTGCCCATCTTCCATTGTTCAGAGCCCCAAAAGAGAAATTCTTTTACCAACAGTCACATTTAGAGATGGCACGTAAAAGGTAGTTTTTTCTTAGGTTGATATACACCTAAGTGTTTTTAGAACCTTGCTAGGTATAAAATAAGTATAAATTCTAAGCGATTTTTTTCTTCATGGAGGCTGTATAGCCAGGGGAGCTGTGTGCCCTTACTGTCCTGCACCGCAGTGGTGTCACCCTGTGTCTGCGGAGTTGATGTTTCCAGTGCATCATCTAGGCCAGGCACCTCTCAGCTTCCCCAGCTGTGTCCTGCATCCTCCCCTGGGCCCTGTCTGGGTTGAGCAGTTCAGAGGCACATGCCCCATGACAAGCTTCACCGAATTCTCAGTCTTTTTTCTCATTTGGTCTTTCTGCCCCAACCACGCTGGCACTAAAACTGAACTCCCTGGCTACTCCATCATGTAGCAGTTATATTGATTACCAGCCCCTGATTTAGAGCATCCACATGCTCATTTTTCTGTGCCAGTGTTTGCCCTGTATTGACGTGTTCTCACACTTTCTCACCTATGCCTCCCTCGCCCCCGACCCCCTAAGCAGAAAGATATAGCTGCCAAAGGGAAGAGCAAGGCCTGCAGGGGGTGCTACTAGGTCCCGTTACACTCTTGTGGCTAAACTCACCTTGTTTATCACTTAACAGACACAAGTCATCATTAAATCCGTCTTTTAAATTTAAAATATTTTAGATTCATGTCACATTTTTGGCCACAGATTTTAAATGTAATTCATGTTTATGAAAATAAATTAGAAGTGTATATATCTTAAAGTTCATGTAGTCTAATTTTATAGATGAGAAAACCCAGAAAAATAAAGATACTTAAGATTGCTGTTTATAGCAAAACTAGAACTAAAGTTAAAATTTTATGATTCTGTATCTAAGGCAGTAAGACACAGGAAAGAATAAATCATTAATCTGAAGAAAAAACTAAATCCTCAAGTATGATATTCAGGCAATTCTTGTCATTCAGGTAGTTATGCTCTATAAAGTTGCACAGACACTGAGTTAGTGAATGCTCTACTGTAGCCTCTGGGTAAACATGGGGTTAGGTTCCTGAGAGCCTCTGTTCACTACGTTTTCATTAGCCATTCATATATAACCTTGTTTTATGTGTGTTTCTGTTTAAAGACACCTTATTCAATGTATATTGTTAATTCATTGACATTCAACTCGTGATCAGCAGCACTGTAGCTCATGCCTGCATGAAGCTTCCCTAACACACGTGTTTTCTCCATAAGGCACATCACAGCCTTCTTGCACTTAGGGCTGGGAACATTTTAAACAGCAAAATCACCAACATAAAGCACACAGATTTGAAAACAGTAGCCCTAAATAGATCACAAAGAGGATGCTTATTCACCATTTCAGCTGGAACAGGAAGGCAAGGCATGGCCTTGTTCCTCCTGGCTAGGAACGTTCATGTGGATGACTGATTCTTTTCCAGTCCATGTATGTCCACAAATGGCCACTGCAGTGCCACAGACACTGATTGTGGGTTCATAAATTTCAGAGGGGAGGAAAATTGGCAAATACGGAATCTGTGAATAATGAGGCTCGCATGTATTAAGTGGTATTTAGAAATTTTTTTAATTGAAATTTTGAAAATTTTTCGTCACTAAAATAAAAAGATATTAATGAAACATAAAACTTAACAATGAAAGCAGAAGAAAAACATGGTAGAAACAATTACTACAAACATTTTAGTTTCCAATTTCGTATAATGTTATAAAATTTAGAAGGAGATAGTCTATTGGTTAATAGAAATAGTGAGTGTAATTCTTAGCTTCTGCTGTGGGAGCATGGCATACAGCAGCCTGGGTTGGGGGGAAGGCAGGTCTGTAATGTTCCAGCCTCTGTTGGCTCTGTCTGCTGCTTTTGGGCAACACCCAGGCTTGGAGATCTTTATTATTACTTTCTGATTTTGCTTATTCTTTTTCTTTTCCAACCAAGAACATGCTAATTCTTTGAAAATTAGTTTGCCAAGCAGCCAATTTAGTGAATGACCAATTTACTTAATTTTTCAAGTTTCAGTTTGTGAAAATCTGGTTCTTTTATCTGTATATAAAGTTTACAGTTCATATTTGATGGGAAGTTTTGGTTGACTAGCTTTTATTTCTTTATAGCACTGTTAATAAGTGTTTGCTGTGTTATATTATAAACATTTAATATTGAGAAAATATATTTCATATTTTATCTTCCATATTTTAGGATTTCCTAAGATAATTTTTCCAGTTTATAATTATTCTTTTTAAAAAACAGACAATTTTTAGGGCAGTTTTAGGTTCATAGCAAAATTACAGAAAGTACAGAGAGTTCCCGTATATCCCACCCATACCCATGCACACACACTGCCACCCCCACTACAGTCACCATCCCACACCAGAGTGAAATGTTTATTAACTGTTAATGAAGCTACATTGATATTTGGGTCATTGTCACCCAAAGTCCATAGTTACATTAGGGCTTACTCTTGGCCTTGAACAGTCATTGGGTTTTAAGAAATGTGTAAGGATGTGATTTTGCTATTACAGCGGCATATAGGGTTGTTCCACTGCCCTAAAAATCCTGTGTGCTCCACCCACTCACTCCTTCCTGCCTTCTGACCCCTGGCAATCACTGAGCTTTTATTCTTTCTGTAGTCTTGCCCTTTCCAGAATGTTACATATTGGGAATCTTACAGTATATAGGATTTTCAGATTTGCTTCCTTTGCTTAGCAATATACGTCCCAGCTTCCTCCATGTCTTTTCATGGCTTGATAGTGCATTTCTTTTTAGCACTAAATAATATTCCATTGTCAGAATGTGTCTGTTCAGCCCCTCACCTACACAAGGACATCTTAGCTGTTTCTAAATTTTCTCAGTTATCAGTAAAGCTGCTAAAACATCCATGTGCAGGTTTTAGTGTGGACATGTTTTCAACTCCTTTTGGTAAATCAACAAGGTGTGCAATTGCTTGATCATATGGTAAGAGTATGTCTAGCTTTGTAAGAAACCACCGGGCTGTCTTCTGAAGTGCCCGTGCCATTTCGCATTCCCATCAGCAGTGAGTGGGAGCTCCTGTTGCTCCACATCCTCCTCAGCATGTGCTGGTGTCAGTGCTCTGGGTTTTGGCCATTGTAATAGGGGAGGTCCAGGTTACTTATTATTTCTTTCATGGATTGTGTCTTTGGTGTTGTATCTAAAAGTCATTGCCAAACTCAAGGTCCCTTAGATTCTCTCTTGTGCTATCTTCTAAGAGTTTCATAGGTTTGCATTTTACATTTAGGTCTATGTTCCATTTTTGGGTCAGTTTTTTTTTAAAAGAGAGTAAAGTCTGTGTCCAGATTCCTTTTATTGCATATGGACGTCCAGTTGTTCCAGCATCATTTGTTGAAAGGACTCTTTTCTACACCTGTTTTGGTAGGTGCATGTTTTTGGGATTTTATATTGATGTGTAATTTAAACAAAATTTGAGACATCGATATTATAATCAATTTCTGGGATACTCATTTCTTTTGTACTTCCATGAAAAGTTTAATGTTCAGATTGAGTCTTTACATTGCTACTACTAAGTTAACATAACCCTGTTTGAAAAAACCAAAATCTCAATGTCTCATCTGTGACAGGATCGTCTTAGCTATATTATTTTATTTTTCAATGTTACTTTCTTTTCTTTTTAAGACAAGAGTCTCACCCAGTCTGTTGCCCAGGCTGGAGTGGAGTAGTGCCATTGGCTTACTGCAACCTCTGCCTCCCGGGTTCAAGCCATTGTCCTGCCTCAGCCTCCCTAGTAGCTGGGACTACAGGCGCCCACCACGACCACACCTGGCTAATTTTTTTTTGTATTTTTTAGTAGAGATAGGGTTTCACCCTGTTGGCCAGGCTGGTCTTGAACTCCTGACCTCAAGAGATCCACCTGCCTCGGCCTCCCAAAGTGCTGGGATTACAGGTGTGAGCCACTGAGCTCAGTGGTATTTTCTCTATCATAAACATTAACTACTACTTGGTGATCTCACACAAGTTCTTCAGAAGGCATATCAGCCTTCGTTTTTCCCCTAGAAAGTAACACTTCAAATATACCGTCTCATGTGTGACAGTACTTTTTTTGTTCGTTTTTTAATTCATCATTTTTTCTTTCTCCAAATTTTAGACCTTTTTTATCTTCTTTCACCTAAAAAGCCCTTCTACCCGCTGGTTGACTCAGGGATTGAATTTGTATTTCTCACCGTTGGTGAACAGATCCCTGCGTTTCTATCATGATGTGGTTGCTCCTGCCCAGCAGTCAGCAGACTAGTCCATATGCTGAGAATGGTTTTTCCATTTTTAAAATATTGCTTAAAAAAGAGAAGAGGAATATGCAAGAGAAATAATACATAGCCCACAAATCCTAAAATATGTGTCATCTTGGCAACCCCAGTTTGCCAATCCCAAATCACTTTTCCTTGTTTTCTGCTTTTGATGTATATATTATTGGGTTTGAGCTGCCTTATTATGCTGTTTGGTTGGTAGGAAATGGAGGAGGAGGAGAAGAAATGGTTTTCTGAATATGAGACATATTTATAGGAAGATTGAAACATTTTGTGATCTTTAACTTTTGACATATTTCTTAAAATGTTGTTATGAAAAGTCTGAAAATCTGTCAATTATTAATAATTGTCAGAAGTCTTTAAAAATTGATAAAACTATCCTTTATAAATTGCTGTATATTTTTATATACTTAAAAGGAATGTATGTTTGGTGAATCTTTAAAGTTTGGTAAATTCACAATTGATTATCAGCCAAATGACTCCAATGTCCTACAAGTCCTTGAGTTTGTGTGTGTGTGTGTGTGTAACATACATATAACATATATATAACATATAAAACATATATAACATCTTTTTTAATACACACACACACACGGATGGGATTATTTAAAGCTTGTCTTTCTAGGACTGGAGGTTTTAACCTGAGATCTGTGGGCTTGGAAAGTTTGTGAACTTCCTAAAATAGTGTATTGAAATCACAGTTGGGGGCTAAAGAGGGGGAGGAGCAGCTATGGGAAGAGGGTTCATATTTTTCAGTAATTTTTTTTTCTTTTTTTATACTTTTGTTGTTAAAAAAAAATTATTACTATTATTTTGAGACCGGATCTCACTTTGTTGCCCAGGCTGGAGTGCATTGGTGCAATGATGGCTCACCACAGCCTCGAACTTCCCAGACTCAAGCAATCCTCCCACTTCAGCCCCCTGAGTAGCTGGGACTATGGGCACATGCTACCATGCCAAGCTGATTTTAAAATTTTTCTGTAGAGATGAAGTCTCACTATGTTGCCCAGGCTGTTCTCAAACTCCTGGCAACAAGCAGCTTTCCTTCCTCGGCTTCCCAAAGTGCTGGAATTACAGGCATGAGCCACCACACCCAGCCCTATTTTTTTCAAGAGTTTAGGACCCCAAATGGTTAATTACCACTGATCTAGGAGAAAAAATACCTGCCTGTCTTTTTTTGGTCTGGCTGTTTTTAGAGGGAAGTAAATGAAATATAATGGTGAGATTTAAATATCCGAAGGTTGTGCAGGTAAATGTAGCTGTAATATTAGGTACCTGAATATGGGTGAGAATTTTGTGGGTCACACCTGCCACACTTCACGTGTCCACATTTTTTAGAGTATGTGCTGTTCTGTTTTCCAGATGAGCAGAACTACATTCTCCGAGATGCTGAGGCAGAAGTACTTTTCTCTTTCAGCTTGGAAGAATCCTTAAAACGGGCACATGTTTCTCCACTCTTTAAGGTACACTTTAAGGGAAAAGTAAATCAGTCCAAGTAAGCATAACACATGGACCTGCTGAAGGGAACTACCAGGTGATTTGATGGGAAGTGCACTTCCAGGGGAGCTGGGCTCACCCTGCATCCCGTTTACCACTTGGCTTCCTTCTTGGACATTGCCACTGGAGGTCTTCCTCCTGTGAACCACAGCACATCTCTAGAGAACTTTTCTTTACTATAACGTTTAAAAATAAGTACACAAATTTAATAAATACATCTGTGAGAAATAAGTTGTTCAAGGAGTAGGTTTTTGAATAATTGTTAAGAGGCATGTTCATTTTTCTTCTTTTTAATAAATCTTTAGAGGACATTGCTTACTTCATACTATTGTCAATAAATGTATATTCAGCTGGAGAAGATACTTGGGAAAATATTCAGTGTGCATAGATATAATTTAGAACTAAAGATTTTTAAATGTTAGATAAGTGTTAGAACAGTTAGGAATTTTTTTTTGTATCAAAGAACTAAGTAAATCAATAAAGATAATCTGTTCTTTAACCTTCTTAAGGAGTCAACAGGAATTAGAAATGATTTGCAGTTTAAGACAGAATAGTATTTTGTGGTATCCTCAGGAGCAAGCTTTTTAGATAATTAAATCTTAAGCATCAATATCATTTCCTGCTCTGAGTTCAAATAATATGGAGAAAATAAAGAAAAGGGATACAAGCCAGGCAGCATGCTACGCCAGAGGCTGTTGCTGGGCCGATAAGTGTGGTGAAATATAATGCTGATTTAAAATTGTATAGAAATTGTGAAAAATATTTGCAATATTATTGCTTATTCACAAAACGATTTGTTTTAGGGACTTAAGTTCTGGTTACTTTAAATCATCTTCAGGCATACTTAACATGTGAAAATGCTTAAATTCCAAATTTACATCGCTGGATTCCTCTTCCACTTCAGACTGAGTGCTAGTAGGAGAATAGTAGCTTCATAATGTCATAAAATTAGAAATTTTGTCAAAAATCTCAGGGCAGAATCTATGAAAATTATGTACTCTAAAAATTAAAGCATTTTAAGAACACAATACATATATTTTCATTTAATTTTAGGCAAAATATTTTTACATCACACCTGGAATCTGCCCAAGTCTTTCCACTATGAAGGCAATCGTAGAGTGTGCAGGAGGAAAGGTGTTATCCAAGCAGCCATCTTTCCGGAAACTCATGGAGCACAAGCAGAACTCGGTGGGTAGAGCGGAGTCCGCCAGCGAGTCCGTCATTGCCCTGTATCAGAATCCGCGTTCGGTCACTGAGACACTCATTTTCTTTTCCTTAGAGTTTGTCGGAAATAATTTTAATATCCTGTGAAAATGACCTTCATTTATGCCGAGAATATTTTGCCAGAGGCATAGGTACGTTTCCCTGCTTACGTATGTGAGTGTGTGTGCACACAGCAGTGGATCTCTCTAACAGTCTGTTTCCACCCTGTTCAGATGTTCACAATGCAGAGTTCGTTCTGACCGGAGTACTCACACAAACGCTGGACTATGAATCATATCCTTTTCAAAAGAATAAAAAGTAGATGGGTTGGATATGAAATGGATTTCCCAGATTAATAAGGCAGTACCTTTCCTGTTTTGCAAGCCATTTTTCCTTTCTTTGCTGTCGTGATTTATGCAGTGAACAATTCTTTTCTCTTCAGAATATTCATTTGAGTTGCTAGTGAAAACATTCTCTTAACTTGCTGAGAGTTCAGTTTTAATAGGTGATGTTAATTAGAAAGGATCTGTGCTGTCTAGTTTATGGAGGTATTAAAGTATTTGACAATTAGATAAAATAGAAAATAATTGCAAAAATAAATACATGTTTCTTTTTATCAGCTCATTTTTGAGTTTGTAGTTTTCAAAATGAAATTTAGTTCGTATATAGCCTTTGTATTCAGGAACTTTGGGATGGGAAATAAATTCTACTAAATAGAAGTGGCAGTGAATACTTTATCAACGTGTCAGGAAAAGCAAAGTCAGTCTTTAGAATAATGACACGCTTAGACTTTTTTCTATTTCAGACATTCAGAAAAAAATAAAGCTCATCATCTGTTATTTGAATTCCTATTAAAAATCTCTGAATTATTATTTTAATGTATGAACAGCCCATCAGTGAAGCAAAACATGCCTTACAGGTCATTTTGGGAAAATTCTGTTTCAACTGCCGCTTCCCATTGCAGAGGGCCTTCTGCCAGGGTTTTCTCAGGACTTCTCCCTGTGGCTCCTGCAATGAGGCTGGAGGGCCGAGCTCCTCCTCCCTGTGAGGGTGGGAGCCTCTGCCACCTCTGACCAGTGTCAGCCTCAGTGGACCATTCCTTACGCAGGGGAATTTTGTGTTTGGGATAGGACTGCTTCAGTAAGGCACAGAGGTCAGAATGATACCATCCTTGCCGAGTTTTTTTCTCTGTGTGTGTGCCTGTTTCATCCAGGTAATTACATTTAAGTATATTTACATTTAAATACACTGACATTCATCCAGTTAATTACATGTATCAAACATTTTCCTCTTAACCCTAAAGAGCTTATGGTTATAATAGTAGACAGAAGACCTTGATATCACTGAGAGAAAAGCACTTTTAAGAAGTAAAATTTGGCTGGACGCGGTGGCTCATGCCTATAATCCCAGGATGGGAGGCCAAGGCAGGCGGATCACCTGAGATCAGGAGTTCGAGACCAACCTGGCCAACATGGTGAAACCCTGTCTCTACTAAAAATAGAAAAAAATTACTTGGGCATGGTGGCGGGCACCTGTAATCACAGCTACTTGGTGAGGCAGGAGAATCACTTGAACCCAGGAGGCAGGGGTTGCAGTGAGCCAGTATCACGCCATTGCGCTATAGCCTGGGCAACGAGTGAAACTCTGTCTTTAAAAAAAAAGGAAGTAAAATTTGCCTCAGTCCCAGAAGCCAATGTCATGTTTAGCCATAAATAGCCTGTCTAGTTGGAATGAGGCTTGGTGCAGAAGTGCTCTTATCATTCATATCAGAGCTTGGTGTATTCCATACCGCCATCTATTAGAAAATTATTGCAGGAGCTACTGATAGGAATGATAAGAGGCCTGTTAAATTTTTACAGATACGCTATAAGCATTTGGTTTTTATACAATATGTACTCTTGCATGTTTTCCAGACTTTTTTCTGGCATTCATATTTGTATTTGTGAAAGCCTGTTCTATACTACGTTTACTTTCAGAAGAAATTGCTTTAAAAGTTATATGGGTGACTTGTAAGTATTACCTTGGGGGCCTTTTTTCATATCCGTAACTTGATTAATTTTGCCCAAAGCGGACGGTTTAGAATTGCAGAGGTCGGCACCTGCTCCTGAAGGTATAGGTAGGAATCAGCTGTTTGTGTTGGGGCTTTGGGGATGTCAGCTCTTGGGGGTTGTGTGGTGTACATGTTAATTAAAGGACACTTCAGCTATTGCTAGGCCTCAGCTCTGGCCGCATGATGGATCCCTTGGGGAGCTGGCACAGGTGCTGATGTCCCTGGGCTGAGCGAGCCTGTGTGTCAGGGCTGAGGCCCTCCTGTGATGTGGGTGTGCAGCAGAGCGATTGGTTTGAATGGGTAAGAAAGAGGCTGCAGCATTCCTACAAGGGTGTCCCTGAAACTGGGTGATGAATGTTGGAACCCTTGGTTTCATGTTTTTCTTTCACCTTGTGTTTGAAAGTCGTTTTCCTCAACAAGCCTACATATAAGTTCAACTGATGGCGTCTAGGCTGCAGTGCGTGTGGACTCCTGCGGTACGGGGCCAGCTGTCTGGCTGGCAAGGAGCTGCCGCGCTTCCTTCACGTGCTCTTGTTTTCCAGCTGCTTTCTTGGGGGATCAGACTGTAAAGCAGGAAGACAGATATAATAAATATACTGCATCTTTTTAAGATGTGCAATTTTATTCTGAGGAAACATAAATTATGTTTTGTATTATATGACTTTAAGAGCCCACATTAGGTTTTATGATTCATTTGCCAGGTTTTTAAATGTTTTCACAAAACTGTTATGGGACTTCAACTAGAAATAAAATGGTGTAAATAAAGACCTTGCTATCTCTAAATTATGGATGTTAAAGATTTGAAATGTTTTGTACTTTGATTATTTTTATTTCTTATACTCTGTTTTCTTTTATATTGATATCTTGCCCACATTTTAAATAAATGTACTTTTGAACTTAGAATTGAGTAATCCTTTATTATTCCACATTTTTTGCATAACTTTTATAATTTACATCAAACTGGATCACATTTTAAGTAATTTCAAGACAAAATATTTTCCAGTAAATTTTTACCTCAAGAAATAATTTCTAGAAGCCAGCCCCTTTTTTGTCACCGTAATAAACTCCATCCCAGGCAGGGGCGGATTCAGATTATTTTGCAATCACTAAACACAGGCGCAACCAGTGAGAGCCAGTGACGCTACGGAACTTCCATCTATCCCGCTTCTTTCCAGACCCTGTTGCAGTACACGTCTTGTTGGATCATAGGTGTAATAAAATGGTAGGAGACCGTCGGTTTATTAAAGATGAGCAGGGCAGTAACTGCTAATATCTTTAGATCGTGCTGACCTGTGCTGTCACAGACATTCAGAGCTGTTTTTTAACAAACATTGTGCCTCAAAATATGTCTACTTTTAAGCTTGTATTTTTGTGCCTAAATAAACTTAGAGATACTGACTTCTCTCTGAGTAGATGTGGAACTGACCTTTTCCCCTCATGTACCACAGGTAGAATTGGTGTTGCTGTAAAATATTTTAGATTCTGTAGAATCCTGGAAGTGCAGAAGCGTTTCATAAATCAGAATTTTCATTTGCAAGTATTCAGAGTACTTCCCTACTACCTAGAAGCTTGAAGGCAAGTGACAATCATTACAGAATAAATGGGCCTTCTGGGTAGAGTATAATGCGTCTGTTAATCTTTGGTGGAGACAGGGTGTTTATATAACCAACATACAAATATGACTGATTTGATTAACCTTTCAGTTAGTGCTTTTTTTTCAAAAGCTGCCAAGAAATAATCCTTAAAAACTCCAGGAGCTGTCTAAAGCCAACTGGCTTGCACAGCTGTTAAGCATTGATTTGGTGACTAAGAGGGATTTAGATAAACATATAAAAATAAAAAGATTTCAAGTAAATACTTCTTAGAAAAAAATGATTAGATTGGACAAATTATTTCTTACATGAAAAGAAAATCTCATTTAATCCTATTTTCATCTGGCTCGGTGTCATCTAATAGAAATATAATGGGAAAAACGTGTAATTTAAACATTTTTAGTAGCTACAATAAATGTTTTAAAATTAGTTATAATATGTAGACAATACATCCAAATATTGCTTCTGCCAGAAGTAATCAATATTTTTAGAAATTCCTGAGATATTTTTACTGTTTGAGGGGTGCCAAGTCTTGAAAATCCAGTGTGTATTTTACACTTAGACGACATCTCATTTCTGAAATTTTCATTGGAAATACTTGATCTGTTTAGATTTCACACCACTTAGAGTTGAAAAAGTACATCGTGTATGTTTATAAACTCAAATTATTCAAAACGTAGTTAAGTGGCTTCCAATAACCGAATTAGTGCCAGTTTTTAAGTTAACATAAAGTGCAATTAAAAATGCAGGTCCTCCCTTGGACAAGGCACTTCTCCAGTGTGCAGTGAGCAGGGGCGGCTGATCACTGAGAAGACGAACAGCTGCCCTTCACTGTGCTGCCACCTCAGTTTACCCTGACTTCTGTAACACTGGCAAGGAAGGAATGGCAGGCAATGTGTATGCCAATGATGAAGACAGATATTCCATCCAGATCATCCCAAGATTGTGTCTTCGTGTAGGATAATTAAAGTTATCTACATGATAGGTCTCAACAAGTGTATTTTTAATCTATCTAGATGCTAGGTATTGAGAGGAAACTCGGAAGAAATAATGAGGATCCTAGCTCCAGGAGTTTAGCCTCATTAGGAAAAGTTAAACAACATAATGTCAATCCAGCAAATATTTGGTAATTTAAGAAAATATTTGAATAATAATAGTTGCACAACTTTAAGAAATGTTTTAGCACAGAAAATAAATGAAGATAATTGTATCCTCAGCTCTTTAAACCTCAGTGCTGCTCCCCATGCAGCTCTCCCAAATTACTTTGTTGAATTTTTAAAAAGTGCGTAATTACGTACTAACTTTGTAGGAAGTTTAGCTGCCTCCTGAAATGGACCACGTGTGTCCCCGAGGAGTTTCTCTCGCCCACCGCCGAGCCGCTCCATCTCTAAACTTCAGTGTTGCTGGGCTCACTCCTCAGCAGTTTCCACCCTCCAGGGGTGCAACTAAACACAGGTCACCCCTCCTTATCTCCAAGGTTTGTTCCTCCAACTGCAGAGCTGTTCGTATCTACCCGTCCCCTCCCGCACTCGCTGAGTTCATTTCTTTTCCTCTTGTAAATGTTAGCAAGGTTTACATTTGTCTCCTTTTCTCAGTCCCTTTCCTTTCAGGTTGCCCTCTGTACTGTTCAGGAGTAATTTTCCTGAAATAAGATTCTGTTTCTCATATTAATGCTAAAAAGAAAACAGAGTCCAAGATGAGATGTTCCACATCTTTTTTTTTTTTTCTTTTGTTTTTTTTTTGAGACCAAGTCTCGCTCTGTAGTGCAAGCTGGAGTGTGGTGAGATGATCTCGGCTCACTGCAACTTCCACCTCCTGGGCTCAAGCGATTCTCGTGCCTCAGCCTTCCAAGTAGCTGGGACTACAGGTGTGCGCCACCATGGCCAGCATCTTAATCTTTTGTAATGTCACCATCCCAGCCCCTGACTCCCATTACTCACGTGGAATCAGATGTAATTACCCAACCCTGCCAAACACTTCACAGGCCTCTCTCACTTTATATGCTATCTCCTCCTATTAGAAGAACTCCCATTCCTACATGGCAACCTTTCCCCTCATTTAGACTGTAAGACCTTCCTGATCTTTGCAAACATTCTAGTTTCCTCCTCTTTGTGTCCTCAGCCCTCTCTGATACAATGGAATAGATGTCTTAGAGCTGAGTGGTTACTTGTTTGCAATCTTTCTCTCTGCCTTAATAAAGCCTCAGAAACAGATTTAGGCCCTCTTCACCTACGCTATCTGTGGTAGGCAGAATTATAGACCGCCAAAGATACCCTAGACCAGCAGTCCCCTACCTTTTTGGCACCAAGGAGAGGTTTCATGGAAGACAATTTTCCCATAGATTGGGTTGGGGTTTAGGGGGAGTTTCAGGATAAAACTGACCTCAGATCATCAGGCATTAGATTCTCATAAGAAGTACACAACCCAGATGCCTGGCAGATGCAGTTCACAATAGAGTCGTGCTCCCATGAGAATCTAATGCTGTCACTCATCTGATAAGAGGCAGAGCTCAGGCGGTAATGCTCACTCACCCACCTCTCACCTCCTGCTGTACAGCCCGTTTCCTAACGGGCCATGGACTGGTACTGGTACGTGACCTGGGGGCTGCGGATCCCTGTCCTAGACCTAATCCCCAGAACCTGTGGCTTCTATGTTAGCTTAGTGGCAAAAGAAACTGCAGGTGTGATTAAGGTTAAGGACCTTGAGATGGGAATATGAGCCTGCATCATCCAGGAAGGCCCGAGCAAGCCAGGAACCCCTCAGAGCGGAAGAGAAAGGCAGGAAACTGGGTCGGAAAATAGGACCTTAGTCCTACAGATGTGAGGAACTAGAGTGATTTTATTCCAATAAGACCCCACCAGACTTCTGACCTACAGAACTGCAAAACAATAGATTTTAGTTGTTCTAATTTAAGCCACTAAATTTGTGGCAATTTGTTACAGCAGCAATGGAAAACCGACAGTATCCCAAATTTTTGTAGACTGCTTGGCATTTAATAAGCATTTGCTCAAAATGTGTTGAACTAAAATTATCATGGAGGGAAAATAAGGAATAGTTTTAAGCTTTTGGGGGGGAGGCAGGGATAGAATCAAAACTATTCCAGAAAGATTAATTTGAAAGTAGACACATTGAAGGCAGGTAAGTGAACAAAACATGTTGGATTCATCTTTAAAAGAAGTAATAAGACCTGGAGTTAGGATAGACTTAGGGAAAAAGGGGGTGTTTCAAAGGAAAACATTGCTTTGTGCATGATTTAAACTAAAAATTTTACATTTGGAGAAAAGAAAGTAGTCATATCGATATAAACAAGGAACTTGGTAAGGCAGCCAGAGAGAATTTTATAGTGAAATTAAGGCTGCAATTTGGGTAAGAGGTGTAGGCTGAGTTCCATTACTGGGGAGTTGTCATAGTAGCATTAGGTAATTGTAGGTCAATGCTCCCTAATTACCCTTTGTACTGCCAAGGACTGGGGCTTGAAGACCACTTTTCAGTGGTCAGTGAAAGATACCAAAGGAATGGTTGACAAGGTGAGGTGAGAATCTTGATGGTATGAGACCTCAGGTTTCAGGGAGACATTTGTATCTATGGCAATATGGTGGACACAGCTGTCTTGACTAGTACTCCTTCTGAAAATGAAAAATGCTAACCTTAGGTAGATATAGAAAATAAATTCATGAGCTGGCAAGACAGGAGTACTCAGGCCAAGAACTAAGTAAAGAAGAGAACTCAGGGACTAGCTAAGCACTGAGGCCAGTGCCTTGAAAGCATTTGTCCAAGCAGCTTAACTTGAGTTTCACAGCCTCACTATGGAGAAGGTAAGTGTTCAGGGCCTGTCCAAAGTGAAGAGTCAAATAGAAGATCCTCCTTCCCAAAGACTGGTGCCCCAAAGGGCTATACCCCAGGTATAAATATGAAATAGAAATAAACCTAAATCTGCCCCCAACAACCCTGGGAGTCACTGCCAGTCTTGAACCTTAGGGCTGCCGCACTAATTCACAATACATAGATGGTCCAAAAACCTCTCAAGCTCAGAATTTAGGCTAGTAACACCCTAAAACAATTGCATAAGGAACTACAAATCCTCCTTGGAGAAACCGCCCTCCCTGTCTTGGACTAAACACATACTTATCCCACAGAGAAAGCAGCAAGAAAGCAAGGCATCATGAACAAAAATGGACACACACCAGACATAGAAATAGGAAATAGAGCCACATAATTTGGAATTACGAGAGAACACAACAGAGTTAGTATCTCCTCAGACAGGCTTAAAATGTTAGCAGGAAATAAATAGGAAGGATGACCCAGCAG